TCCCCTCCCCTCCTCTCCTCTCCTCTCTCTCTTATGTGTATGTGTGATGTGTGTACTTGTTAATGTGGATGTATACACACATGTATGAGGGTACATGTGCACATGGAGGTCTAAGATGGACATTGTATATCTTCCTCGGTGACTTTTTACTTTTGGTTTCTGAGACATGGTCTTTCACTCAACCTGAAGCACAGTGATTTCAGCAGACAGACTGGCCACTGAACTTTAAAGGTTCACCTGTCTCTGTATTCCAGACCTGGGGTTATAGAATCTTGCTGCCACCCCTGGCTTTTACATGTTCTGGGAATCCAAGCCCATGTTCCGAGGTTCATGTGGCTGGCACTTTACCAACTGTGCCCTCTTCCAAGTCCTGGGCATTTCTTCTAGTCCTTTTATGTTCCTTAGCTACTCCCAAGAACAGAGATGCCATGGGTCAATCTAATTTTATAGGTATATTCCTTAAACAGGAATCTAATTCTATAGATATATTTCTTTAAAGCTAAAACAGATTGTTTTGTTTTTGATAAAGAGCATAATCTTCCAGATTTTAAATGATTGATTTATTATATTACATTTACCAAAGAATCAACTATTAGGTCATATTACTTTCTTTTCTAGTTACAGTAATATGTTGACAAGAGTGATTTAGGGAAGAAAGGGTTCATTTTAGTTTACAATCCATCATTACAGGGAATCAAGGCATCAGAAATCTGAAGCAGATAATCACGTACATCCATAGTCAAGAGCTGATTGCAGTGAATTAGTGCACACATGCCAGTGATCAGATTACTTTCCTTACTGTTATACAGCCCAGAATCTTCTGCCTAGGGAATGCTGCTACCCATGGTGGGCATGTCTTCACACCTCAATTAACTTAATCAAGATAATCTCCCACAGATATGCCCAGAGTTCCTTCTTCCAGTTGAGTTTTGTCAAATTAATGGTTCATATTAACCATCACTTGAGATAATATTAGATAATTTATTTGGGCATTTTTCTTTATTATTGAGAATTTTGTACACAATAAAATATAATAATATCTGAACCTCATTCCTCCCCCAAAGTCTTCCCATACTATACACAGCACTTCCCATTACCAATTTCTTATCTTTCTGTTTGTTTGGGTTTTTTTATTTGTTTATTTTGAGACAAGGTCTCATTATGTAGCCCTGGCTGGTCTGGAACTCAAAAACCCACCGACACCTGTCTCCCTAGGGAAGTGCTAGGATTAAAGGTATGTGCCACCATGCTCTTTTTATTTATTTTAACTTTTTTGATAATCCACTCAGTCAAGGTAGTGATACCCATATATACATGGGTGTAGGGCCAACCAAAGTTAGATAAGCTATTTTTGAAAACAAATTTCCTTGGTTGAAAAGGAAATATATCTAAATAATATAAATAAATAAATAAATAAATAAATAAATTTTATTTATACATAAAATAAAAATGGCTACTTCTTTTTCTATAAGAGCAGATTAACTTTGAAATTAAATTGAGTTTTTTGGACATGCTATTTTATTCTGAAAACTATGAAGCTCTTATGATTTGATTGCTCATTGCTCCTTTCTTGAGGAAAATTTAATGACTGAAAGAATATCATGAACTTTTTATTGGGCTTAAAAGTATCCATATTTACAAGAGTGAAATCTTAACATTTATATTTTTATACAATAATGATACATAACTTTGTTACATACAAAGCAGTTCTTTTCATAGTGAAATCCTGTTTATAAGCTGAAGTAACGTTCTGGAAATATTACAGATCATTGCAACAAATTTGCTTAAAAGTACTCCAAAAAAAGGGAAAAATCTTACTATAGACACTGAGTCCCTTCATTACTGTGCAGATGTATTTCTTATATGATTTCCTTCTATTTTGAGCCAAAGAAACATTTGAGAAGGTGAAGATTTGTGCATCTCTGTGCCCACATGTGGCTTTCTTTGACTCTCATTCATATCTCAGTCATAATATTCTCAAGGACAAAGATTCAATTTTCCTCCCTAGCAGAAATGGAATCAAATTATACACCACAGAAACAACACATTTTCAGGAAAAGTGGTGAGATCAATACAGCCAAGAAATAATAACACACAAACCTTGGAAAATAGAAGCGCATATTTTTCCAGCTACTAAGTTAAAGTTGGATCCAGCAGTACATCCGCAGCTACCCTGGACCCATCAGCGATGGTCTCAGAAACAATTTGTCTTTGAATTAACTGGACACTGAGATTATACTCTAAAAATATGTTTTGTATATTTTATGTTCATTGGCTGAGCATCAAATTATTTCAGTGATGTGCCAGGAGGATAAAAACCAAACAGCCTTGCCCTATGATATTGTCTTAGACAATTAATCCTATTTCTTTTCTCTCTCCTCCATGGGTACCTCCTCGCTCACCATCCACTACTGTCACTCTGAAATGTCAAGAGTTTTCATGCCACACATCCATAAAACCTCCCCAAAATAGAGTGACTAAAAATCTGATGCTTTGCATAAATATCCTAGTGCTTATTTTTAAAGCTCAAGTTTTATCATCTCGTGAAGTTCTACTTTTTCATATATCCAAACTCCAGTAAATAGTTTATGGCTGAAAATACAATAGTATATTTGCAGATTCTGGACTTTTTCACTTCTTTAATGGAGATTTAATTTCATTCTTTTACTATTGTCCACAAAGAAGAATTTTATTACATTAAATTATTTACTCATGAGTCCAAGATTTCTATAACTTCACTCCCTCCATTCAAGGCCAATGTGATAAATTTGCCTCCACTCATCTATCTTTCCTTTTTTATTATCATTACAGCTGTTTTAAGTCAGGCATCATTAAAAGGACTGAAAATCCATCAGTGAAGAAGATAAGACTCCTGTTGTCCTGTATGTTATAATCGGCCCTTGGGAAATAGACAATGAAAATGAATAGATTCATAAACAGTTTCAAATAGAAACTCATGTAGAAAATTAAAAATAGGATAATGAGATAAATAACTACAGTGTTCCTGTCCACATACATATGTCCATAATATATTTATGTATAATTAGCATATAACATAGTAACTCACATACAACATATTAATTAATATAACATTAATGTGCAATAGATATAATTAATATATACTGTGCTAATACAATATATTACAGTCTGGAAAAAGCTTTCGGTGGAAATTGAGAGTCAAACAAGAATTGGAAGAAGAGAAGATGATGGGGTGAAGACACAGACAGACGATGGAGGAAGGAGGGAGGTGGAGGGGGAGAGCGGGAAGAGGGGAGGCAGTGGAGAGTCAGGAAGATGATGTTCCATGTGGAAGGAGGACTGATACAATGATAGTGAGACTGCACCAAAGTCAGTCAAATAACAAGACCAGGGTGGGGGGATGAAGGGGGGGGAAGGGATGGGAAGAGAGAGCACCACGTAAATCAGACTCTGTTCACAAGGTCACTGTCAGTCGGGGGAACTTACTCTTTGTGCAGGGAAAGTCATTAGGAGGACACAGGGAGTGATGCGCTGTGTTCTATAAACTCTTTGATTTCTTTTTAAATATTGGCAGAGAAAGTTAAATTTGGAGCCTCAGGCACACTTGATACCCAGCAATGTCACACGTTCAGTAAGTGCCATATTCTAAGGCCTCTCTCTCCTGGTTCTAACCTTGGT